TGTAGGAAGTTTAGGAAGTTTAGGGTTTAGGAAGTTTAGGGTTTGGGGTTTAGGAAGTTTAGGAAGTTTAGGGTTTAGGAAGTTCAGGGTTTGGGGCTTAGGAAGTTTAGGAAGTTTAGGGTTTAGGAAGTTCAGGGTTTGGGGCTTAGGAAGTTTAGGAAGTTTAGGGTTTAGGAAGTTCAGGGTTTGGGGCTTAGGAAGTTTAGGAAGTTTAGGGTTTAGGAAGTTCAGGGTTTGGGGCTTAGGAAGTTTAGGAAGTTTAGGGTTTAGGAAGTTCAGGGTTTGGGGCTTAGGAAGTTTAGGAAGTTTAGGGTTTAGGAAGTTCAGGGTTTGGGGCTTAGGAAGTTTAGGAAGTTTAGGGTTTAGGAAGTTCAGGGTTTGGGGCTTAGGAAGTTTAGGAAGTTTAGGGTTTAGGAAGTTCAGGGTTTGGGGCTTAGGAAGTTTAGGAAGTTTAGGGTTTAGGAAGTTCAGGGTTTGGGGCTTATGTAGGAAGTTTAGGAAGTTTAGGGTTTAGGAAGTTCAGGGTTTGGGGCTTAGGAAGTTTAGGAAGTTTAGGGTTTAGGAAGTTCAGGGTTTGGGGCTTAGGAAGTTTAGGAAGTTTAGGGTTTAGGAAGTTCAGGGTTTGGGGCTTAGGAAGTTTAGGAAGTTTAGGGTTTAGGAAGTTCAGGGTTTGGGGCTTAGGAAGTTTAGGAAGTTTAGGGTTTAGGAAGTTCAGGGTTTGGGGCTTATGTAGGAAGTTTAGGAAGTTTAGGGTTTAGGAAGTTCAGGGTTTGGGGCTTAGGAAGTTTAGGAAGTTTAGGGTTTAGGAAGTTCAGGGTTTGGGGCTTAGGAAGTTTAGGAAGTTTAGGGTTTAGGAAGTTCAGGGTTTGGGGCTTAGGAAGTTTAGGAAGTTTAGGGTTTAGGAAGTTCAGGGTTTGGGGCTTAGGAAGTTTAGGAAGTTTAGGGTTTAGGAAGTTCAGGGTTTGGGGCTTAGGAAGTTTAGGAAGTTTAGGGTTTAGGAAGTTCAGGGTTTGGGGCTTAGGAAGTTTAGGAAGTTTAGGGTTTAGGAAGTTCAGGGTTTGGGGCTTATGTAGGAAGTTTAGGAAGTTTAGGGTTTAGGAAGTTCAGGGTTTGGGGCTTAGGAAGTTTAGGAAGTTTAGGGTTTAGGAAGTTCAGGGTTTGGGGCTTATGTAGGAAGTTTAGGAAGTTTAGGGTTTAGGAAGTTCAGGGTTTAGGGCTTAGGAAGTTTAGGAAGTTTAGGGTTTAGGAAGTTCAGGGTTTAGGGCTTATGTAGGAAGTTTAGGAAGTTTAGGGTTTAGGAAGTTCAGGGTTTAGGGCTTAGGAAGTTTAGGAAGTTTAGGGTTTAGGAAGTTCAGGGTTTAGGGCTTAGGAAGTTTAGGAAGTTTAGGGTTTAGGAAGTTTAGGGTTTAGGGGGTTTGGGGCTTAGGAAGTTTAGGAAGTTTAGGGTTTAGGAAGTTCAGGGTTTGGGGCTTAGGAAGTTTAGGAAGTTTAGGGTTTAGGAAGTTCAGGGTTTGGGGCTTAGGAAGTTTAGGAAGTTTAGGGTTTAGGAAGTTCAGGGTTTGGGGCTTAGGAAGTTTAGGGTTTAGGAAGTTCAGGGTTTGGGGCTTAGGAAGTTTAGGAAGTTTAGGGTTTAGGAAGTTCAGGGTTTGGGGCTTAGGAAGTTTAGGAAGTTTAGGGTTTAGGAAGTTCAGGGTTTGGGGCTTAGGAAGTTTAGGAAGTTTAGGGTTTAGGAAGTTCTTAGGAAGTTTAGGAAGTTTAGGGTTTAGGAAGTTCAGGGTTAGGAAGTTTAGGAAGTTTAGGGTTTAGGAAGTTCAGGGTTTAGGGCTTAGGAAGTTTAGGAAGTTTAGGGTTTAGGAAGTTCAGGGTTTAGGGCTTATGTAGGAAGTTTAGGAAGTTTAGGGTTTAGGAAGTTCAGGGTTTGGGGCTTAGGAAGTTTAGGAAGTTTAGGGTTTAGGAAGTTCAGGGTTTGGGGCTTAGGAAGTTTAGGAAGTTTAGGGTTTAGGAAGTTCAGGGTTTGGGGCTTATGTAGGAAGTTTAGGAAGTTTAGGGTTTAGGAAGTTCAGGGTTTGGGGCTTAGGAAGTTTAGGAAGTTTAGGGTTTAGGAAGTTCAGGGTTTGGGGCTTAGGAAGTTTAGGAAGTTTAGGGTTTAGGAAGTTCAGGGTTTGGGGCTTATGTAGGAAGTTTAGGAAGTTTAGGGTTTAGGAAGTTTAGGGTTTAGGGCTTAGGAAGTTTAGGAAGTTTAGGGTTTAGGAAGTTCAGGGTTTAGGGCTTATGTAGGAAGTTTAGGAAGTTTAGGGTTTAGGAAGTTCAGGGTTTAGGGCTTAGGAAGTTTAGGAAGTTTAGGGTTTAGGAAGTTCAGGGTTTAGGGCTTATGTAGGAAGTTTAGGAAGTTTAGGGTTTAGGAAGTTCAGGGTTTAGGGCTTAGGAAGTTTAGGAAGTTTAGGGTTTAGGAAGTTCAGGGTTTAGGGCTTATGTAGGAAGTTTAGGAAGTTTAGGGTTTAGGAAGTTTAGGGTTTAGGGCTTAGGAAGTTTAGGAAGTTTAGGGTTTAGGAAGTTCAGGGTTTAGGGCTTAGGAAGTTTAGGAAGTTTCGGGTTTGGGAAGTTTAGGGTTTAGGGCTTAGGAAGTTTAGGAAGTTTCGGGTTTGGGAAGTTTAGGGTTTAGGGTTTAGGGTTTATAGGGTGCATCAGACCTTTATTAGGGCTTTGAGGGGTTTCTTTTTTGGCGTTCGAGTTGGGGCTTAGGGGGCTTTCAGGTTGGGGTTTAGGGCTTTGAGGTTTGAGGGTTTAGGGACCATTCGATGCGGTTTTAACCTTGTGCCCGGGTCCTGAACTAGCTCTCAATATGCTCAGATCGTCCAGTTTGGTATCACTTAGTGCTCAAATACTCCCGCAAGTAAGGCCTAAACTCGGACTCAAGACACGATCAGCCCCCCCCCATCCGGCGACCCAAAGCCTACACCCCTAATCCCCCCCCAGAGGGCGAGGAGCGCAGGCATGGAGATGCAACTCTGCATTTGGCAGATCCACCACCTGCTCGCCTGTCTCCAGGAGCCGGTCCCCTAAACCTTGAACCCTAGGGTTTAGGGGTTTGGAACCCATAAACCCCAAAACCAAGATAGATGTCTCCCCCTTTTTGAAGACGCACATCCGAGGTCAGGCCTCTCAATCCAAACCTCTCGCCAGCATCCCACACACAACTTTCGGTCCATACTGACGTGAACAACAACTCTCAAAACTCTCGCGTTACAGTACGGTGCAATACGTTCTTGAACTTGTCATTGAAAATCGGATCGGGATGGCGACAACAATGGCCATCGTGGCGATAATCTATCATCGTCATCTTCATCGTCATCGTCGTCATCATCATCACATCCCCAATGATACCAAAGGGCCGCGCATCACTCCGGATGCAGAGCCATCCCACTACTCAGCCCTCGTAGTTGCATGCTTGTCCCAGCCCCACGACTTTGAGAATACTTCAGACTGCATCTTAGAGTCCCACAGTCCCGAATACCAAAGCCAAGAAAAGAACTCTGGAGCACGCACTCCAAACCCCTGATCTCGTGATTGTGCATGCGAGACGCCACGTTCACGTTAAGAACCACACCCTGTGCCAATGCAGGCCCAGCCCTCGAAGTTTGCATATGCAGTTCCATCTAGACACCACCATCCCCCACATCGTGAGAACTCAAGAACCCCCAACAGCATTTGAGGTACCCCTGCCTTCTGCATCTGGCCCGCGCCGCGGCAAAGCCTCTGCAGCTGCGGTGAAAGCCTCTGCCTCCACAAAAGCCTGCACGCAGGCAGAAGGAGTTTGGCTGGTGGTGCCGGTGGTAACGATGACGGACTGATGCCGGTGCTGGTGGTAGTGGTGGTGATTCTTGCGATTGCAGACTTTGACACGCACGCAGTCAGAATGTATGGCGATTGTCGTAGTGGGATCCGCAGCACTGCGCCAACTTTACTACCTCAAATTTCGACAATTGTGACGGCCACGATCATTGCCATCATCTTAGCCAGCGTCGTGAGATCATGGTATCTGAATCAAGCATTATCGACCCTTGTTGTCACGGGAACAGACGCATGACCGAATCAACAAGCCCGTCAGAAGCGGAACCCAATGCGCCCGGGAACGTACTCACAAGATGAGCATGTCAGCCGTGACAGCAGATCGGTTTTCGAACCTTCTGAAGGATGCTGATACCGGCAACCTGCCCCAGTTGGCTAGACTTCCAGGTAATTTTAAAGGAGCAGCATCGCGACTGCTGCTGACTGCTTCTGCTTTTGCGTGGTTACCACGCCAGGCCTCTGGAAAAACCTCCGCGCCGTCCTTCCACTGCTGCGGCGAACGGAAGCGAAGCCAAAATGCGAGGCCACACATGGCTGGCTATGATGCATCGCGGCGCTAAGACGTGAGGGGCTTGAAGATCCAGGGCTTGGAGGACATAGTATAACAGAGCCTCCAAACCTGCACAAGTCACCAACAGCAGTGTGGAGTATCGATCACATTTTGGGGACACAAGCTGTCAAATGCAGTACCTGCAGCAGCCGATATGGCAATTTTATCGTTGTTCTTGGCGGCAGTTCTTGAAGCCAATGGCTCGTCTTCGGAAAACACCCACTGAACCGTATCATCATGGTCATTGTCTTTTCTATCACCACTATGGCTACATGTCCAGGGCCTTATGTGACCATTGAGATGAACTCTCAACTCCATGCCTTGCATTCGAACAGCGCACAACCCCGCAGCTACCTAAACACCAAGCCCAAAACCATAAACGACGAAGCCGGAAGCCCCAAAACCAAACCCCTGAACCCTCAACCCCAAAAGCGCCGACAACAACCCAAACCCCGAAACCCAATTCAACACCTATACATTGTACATCCCTATCAAAAGGTTTGTCAAGCCTATAAAGCCCGGTTCCAACACCACAAAATCCCTTTCAAAAAACCTATAAAGCCCTGCAGAGCCCTCCAAGCTCGCTCTTGAAGCTCCCGGCGGCTGCACCGGGGGATACCCGGGCGGCGCGCTCTCCGGGGGAGGGCCAGGAGGCGGCCTTGCTTAGAATTTGGGTACTGCCACTATACAGTAACAGTCTGTAATAGGGCTACTATTAAGGTCCTAATATACCTATATTATGAATCTTATCCAACTGTTACTGAGTGGGGGCAGTATCCAGCTTAGAATCTTTGTTCTAAGGTTTAAGGGTTTAGGCGTTTACCTTAGCCCTGAAGAACCTACCTTTTTAAGGACTTGTATAAGGAAATCATAAGAAGGAACCCTATGAAGGTAGGTTCTTCAGGGTTCAGGTAGGGTTTAGGGTTCAGACTAAGGTTCAGGGCTCTTTGCTTAGGGATCTTTGTGATAATACTCGTGGCGAGAAGAAGACTAATGATTGATAGGAACAGCATTTGGTTAGCAGTGGCTGTAGTAGTCGTCGTCATAGAGACAGTGGTGCTAGTACAGTTTGACTATTTTGAGGGCTTGGGTTGAGGGGGTCTAGGGGTTTAGATGCTGTTGCAGGCTTTGGTGGCTTTGAAGGTTGTTTGGAGGATTACTTTGGAGGAGTCTTCGGGTTTCGTGATTTGGAGGGTCACAGCCGGGCCCGGCCTAGTGAGAATACCAAAAACCATAGCACAAACAAAAAACAACAGCAATAGGAATCATGAAGTTCTGAAGTACGAATAGAAAGAATATTGAGGAGTTCGGAAGTAAAGTGCAAGACTTCGACATGTCGTGCCTGCAAATGCTTGATATCACCAAAACTGGCGAAGCGAAGCCTAGATCTAGTGACAAATCCAAACCCCCTGCAAAGACAGCACACTTTCACTGATCTCGGGTGACTTAGCTTTCAAGTCTGGCAGGGTCACGACCCCATAAAGCTTGATCCAAAATCCTAAACCCTATTGACTACCCCCATCCGAACCCCCTGCTGCTGTCAACCCGGAGTGTCCCATGTCCCACATGGCTGCCTGTCGTCTGCGTGTTTGGACTCTCGGTGTCTTCTGCCCCTGCAACGCGGGTCTCATGCGCAGGCGAGGCCACAAAATCCGTGAAGACTCGAGGACACCGCGACGCAAAATAAAGTCATCAACCCTTCACTTTCAAAATAGCACATGCAGGTCTTACGTGCACACATACATGCATGCAAACAAACACCTGCAGCATGGGAGAAGATAACACTTAAAAGGATCCAAGAGAAGATTGCGATTTAATGTTGCATGACATCAACATCGCACTGCACATGTACATTTTGCAAAATGGGCATGAAGGTGAAGGCCAAGGTGAAGATAGATGGGGAACATGGCCGAGTGACAAGGGCATCACCTCAAGCCTGCCAAATGAACACGTGCAAGCCATTACGACTAGAAGTGGCAAGCATTTCAACAGAAGTACAAACGAAAAGCCACACCCTTTGACCTGATTCATCCATGCAAACATCTGTTCCTTGGCCTAGCAAGACAACGTGAACGCGGTTCCCAGCCTAACGACGAGTACTGCAACACGGACAGACGGACTCACAGGCTGACGGACGGACGGACAGAACAGAACATGCAGCGCATACACATAAGGACATATATCCGTTTCAGTCAGATCAGAATGTGAATTGAAGGACGCTTGTCGGAAGGCCTTCTGGAGCGACTCCGCTGAGCCTCGGAACGGACTTCAGGCTACCTTTAGGGCCTTTAGGGTCCTTTAGGGTTGTACGGTTCGGGTTTATAGAGTTTAGATGAGTTTAGGGGTTTAAGGCCGTTTGCCGTTTTGGGGTGTTGGTCGGGCTGTGATAGCCTTGGGAGTAGACGCAGCGACCTAACCAAGCCCTGCAACTGCTTCTTCTCCTACAGCATAACTCCCGAAACCCAAAACTCCCAGACAGAGACCGAACGCAACTGCTGACGACGCTATGACTCGCAGCCCAACATCCGTAACCTTTAAGCCAAGGACTCGAACACCCTGACACCAACCTGCACGCCGAAGCCCTGAGCTCCACCTAAGTCCCTAAACCGTATACCCTAATCCTAGACCGTTTCATCCTAAATCCCTGAATCCCTAAATCCTAGGTCCCTAACCCTAAACCCTAAAACCCTGATCCCTAAGTCTCTAAACCCTAAACCCCTAAACCCTCCAGGCCTGGGTAGGAGCCCTGGCTTCCGCAGCCTTGGGCTCCTTCTGTTGAGGACAAACTTCTTGTTGTTTAGGGTTGAGTTTTGTCTTTCTTGAAGGGCTCTGTCTTATGACAACTTCTTGGAAGAGGCTTTGCGATTAGGGTCCAGTGTGAGGTTTTGCATGAATTGGCAAAGGTGCTGGCAAAAGGGCTTAGGACCTAGGAGATGGGGTGAAGTTCAGGGTGGAGGTTTACAAGTTGTCTGGCATGGGGGAGCGAGGCGTTCACGACAGGGTTCGGGTGGGAACTTGTGGTTGAACCTGAAGCAGAAGAACGTTCGCAGTGATGCCGCAAGACAGGCTTCATGAAAGTGCTCTTCATGATAATCGCTAATACCAGATGCTCATGCTCGTGCTCTCATCAATCGGTGCATGCTACAATTAATATGATCATTACCTTTGTTACTCTTGTTACTCGCCCTTGGGTTTTCGAGGACTCAGGGACTGGTCCTTGAATGTACCTGAGATCGACGGGCACCGCCACGTCATGAGCTGAGTTAGGTCAGGGTTTAGGGTTGAGGTTCTCGGGTCGAGGTTTTTGTTCAGGTTTTAGGGGTTAAAAGTTTAGTGATTCGGGTTTGATTTAGAGTGAGCTCTCTCACGACATCCCGAAAACCTCGAGTTCTGCATGTGTTCATCCGCCCATCCTCCGCCGGGCGCGCTTGCCCTCCGTCCTCCGGGATCAAAGTCTCATGCAGGGCTTGGTCTAGGGCGCCGGGGGCTCTTTAGTCACTGTCCACTACTCCAACTGAAAACCGTCCTATGCATGTTGCTAGCAACAGGATCATCATGTCGCTCCTCGTCGCCTCCGGCGCCAGCCGGTCGTTCGAAAACGAGGGACTTCGCCGTCTGCAGTTGAAAGCAGTCGGTTGTACGACTTTGTAGTGATGAGATGCGACTAACATCACCGGCAGTTCCACCCTAAAGCTAGTCCCCCAACCAACAATCCTCCGCTCTCTAGGGGAAACTGTCAAGGCTCATGAAATCCAAGAGAGACAACCGAACCCGCCGGGAGCGCCCGGAGGAGGGCGGCTACTTTGTCCTGGTCCAGCTGGGAGATATCTTGGCCTGGCGCAAATTTTGTGTCAGAAGGCGTTTAACACTTTCAGAGGCTTGGCGGTGTCTAAAACTTGGGCGAGCGGTTCCGGCCCTAAGCATGGTGAGACATGCTATTTAAAGGATGTAGGCATATTCACATTAGCTGATTAGCTCCGTCTGTGTGAAGAGTCGTGGTCAATAACAATGAACGCACATCAAACGAACCTGACAAGCAGGGCGTACCATCGATGGACAAGAGCAAGTCATCGCTCTGAATCCCATGCTTGGCCTGCCACATGTCGCGTGTCGGATATGAGGGAACCCCTCATGAATAACTCTGGGCTCGTCCGGTGATGCAAACACCAGCTCCCGATCACTGCTTATGCTCTCCCGCAACGCGCCGTCTCCGTGTCCGGATCCACGTGGAGGACGTGGGGTGGCTGACCGGGGGCCACGAATCCCAACGCGCATCCTGCCGAAAAGTCGGATCTTGGCTCTTGGGCTTCTGGGATTCCGGGCTTGGCTTCGAGATTTTCAGGTCGGTCCCGGCAAGATTCTCCAGTTGGTTCTGAGAAAGATTTGCTGGCACACATTCTTGGTTTGGAGCTCTCTGCTCAGTGTAAGGTCCATGCATCGCTGCACTGCCTGCCACAACGACGATCTCGGCATCCACCTCATCGACGTTGACCGGTGGGGTGAGAGTCACCTCCGAAGAGCGGAGCGAAATCGTTGCATCTAGAATCTATACATCGATCTGAACTTGCGCTCGTCGTCACGCATGCTACAGTGCCATAGTCTCAGCTGTGGACGTTGATGCTCTGGTCCATAGTTCACCAAACAAACAAGCCACAACTCCAATGGGGGAGCCCTGAACTGCATTCCAAAGTCTTCCAAGTGCTGGTGCTCGTGCCAGTGGAGATGACTTTCGCAGGCACCACAAGAGTGTAAATCAGGTGCGGCACTGCCGCATTCACATTCCCACGACCCCATCAACATGCAAGATAGCCATAGCAGCGTACTGTTTATATATGTGCGTTTATGCTGCGTTTATGCATACGTAATTACAGACGGCAACTCACAAATGCCTGTCTTTCGTGAGCGAAGATCCCGTTGGAGCTCGCTACAGCCACTTGGCAACATGAATCCGTGTTGGACTCCACTGCCACGTTGGATCTCTGCATTGGAGACCGCATATGTCATATATGTACAATCTATGTCATCGCTTTCTGCCGCCCAATGACAGGCGGCATCACAGCCCCTTTGCACAGCAGCTGCGGCTTTGCGAGCTTGAGACACAGCAGACGCCCCATCAGTGCGGAAGTTCTTCGATGACGACCTGACGATCGGCAGAAGCAGTGAGTCGCTGGAAATCATCCGAGCAGCAAGTTCCGGGGTTCAAGCGTTCGACTCGGCTCTTGGGTCTGCCCCTCCCGACGACCCGAACAACTGCCAGCCGCGTCTAGACCCAGACCCATTGACTCTAGAGCCTGGACCACTAGACCCGACTTCGACAGGCTGTAGAGGACTCAGAACTCTACAGCCCAGCACAGCTACCACCATCAACAGCAGCATGAAGGGTACTAACAACGACGATATTGCCTAACCCCCTCAAAAGCCCCGACCCCTCAACCCCAAAGCTGCCGAAATGCCCAACCCTCAATACCCTAAACCCCTAAACCCTTAAGGCCTAAACCACAAACCCTAAACCACCCTGAACCCCTAAACATAGATACCCGTAAGGCCCCAAGGAAGGCTCAGAGGTCCCGGCTGCGCGCTGCAGCGCCGCCTCCAGGAGCACCAGCAGCCCGAAAAGCACCTAACGTAGAGGTCTCAATAATCATACGAGGACTTATAATCACGATTAGCACAGTTATCAATAGAATGCTGATAATAATGACAATGTTAACGACAATAACTGTGATAGTACGAATATTTGCTTGTAGTAGTAAAAAACAAAACAATACAAATAATGTAATTAACAACAACAACAACAACAACAACAACAACAACAACAACAACAACAACAACAACAACAACAACAACAACAACAACAACAACAACAACAACAACAAAAACAACAACAACAACAACAACCACAACAACCACAACAACAAACAACAACAAACAACAACAAACAACAACAAACAACAACAAACAACAACAAACAACAACAATAAACAACAATAAACAACAACAAACAACAACAAACAACAACAAACAACAACAAACAACAACAAACAACAACAAACAACAACAAACAACAACAAACAACAACAAACAACAACAAACAACAACAAACAACAACAACAACAACAACAACAACAACAACAACAACAACAACAACAACAACAACAACAACAACAACAACAACAACAACAACAACAACAACAACAACAACAACAACACAAACAACAACAACAACAACAACAACAACAACAACAACAACAACAACAACAACAACAACAACAACAACAACAACAACAACAACAACAACAACAACAACAACAACAACAACAACAACAACAACAACAATAACAATGATGATAAGGGTAAGAACTGAAAAGCAGTAGCAGTAGCAGTAGCAGCAGCAGTAGCAGTAGCAGTAGCAGTAGCAGTAGCAGTAGCAGTAGCAGTAGCAGTAGCAGTAGCAGTAGCAGTAGCGGTAGCAGTAGCAGTAGCAGTAGCAGTAGCAGTAGCAGTAGCAGGCAGTAGGAGTAGTAGTAGTAGTAGTAGTAGTAGTAGTAGTAGTAGTAGTAGTAGTAGTAGTAGTAGTAGTAGTAGTAGTGGTAGTAGTAGTAGTGGTAGTAGTAGTAGTAGTAGTAGTAGTAGTAGTAGGCAGTAGTAGTAGTAGTAGTACTAGTAGTAGTATTTTGTTGTTGTTGTTGTTGTGATGTTTATAATGTTGTAATAAGAGTAATAATAACAGTACTGACCAATGACAAGAAGAGGAAGCACATAGGAACGATAACAAGAAGACAAAAATGCCGAGACTAAGCAGCGTCCCTGTGCAATCCCAATACGGCTCTAGTATTTAACTCTAGTCAAATCTCCCCAAAAGCCTCTTGTAACTTGTTCAGGCCCCGAGGATGGTGAACCCACGCCTGTGAGCGCGACGTGAACCGGGCGCCTCGTCGCGCATCTTCGGGTTTTCAAAGCCCACCACCACGGCCTCCTCGTAGTTGGTCACCTTGGGACTGCCATTCAGGTCGCCGTGTCGGGTCGATTCTGGGCTTCGGGTTACGGGCTTGGGATTTGCGGTTGAACCTCAGCGACGACCTACATCTTCATTCTGGCATCCTCCGTTGCCCATGCCGGCATGGCCCAACCAAAAGCGAGCCGGGCTGCAACGGTCATCAGCGTGTCCATCTCGGGCTCGTCCTCGCCTGGAAGCAGCGTCCCAAGGAAAAGACTCCTAGAGCCTGAGGCTCGTCGTCATTACTGGAGCCTGGGACCTAGCACAGCAGGACATGGACAGGATGTGCCGGCATCCAGGCCGCACGGGCTTCTGAGTCTTGGGGTTCTGAGACATTAGACACGGAACGATGGCTGGCCAAGGCTTTTTTCAACTGCATCTTGTCATTCTCGGGTGGGATTTTCTAGCTGCTAGAGCTGCTAGAGTCTGCAGAACGCCCAAGCTGCTACTTAGTCACGGCTGACTTGCAATCGGCTTGCAATCAGCAACGTTGCTTTATACACGTCATACCAGATTTATGTGGTATCGACGAGGCATCAAAAGAAAATCGACATCAAAAGGGATCATGGGTCCCAAGGGTTTGCCCGAAAATCAAATTAATTACGCTGGACCATGGGCGGAAAAATTGAGAAAATGTGACCCGTTTAGGGACGACAATCCTCGCACCTGTGCTGCTCGAAGAATTCCCAGCTCGCCTCCGTGGCCTTAATGCCAGAGCCACCCACTTGAGGAATGCCAGGCCAAGAGTGTGACATGTCATCCACCTTGCAAAGCGTCACATTGACACCGCTTGAAGTCCAACAGGTGGTCTGTTGGTTCTGGTAAGACATTGGCATCGAATCGAAGGACTCTGCAGCACCATTGATTTCCAGCCACTTTGCGATCGTATCCTTTACTGGGTTGAAGTAGCCGAAGCCGAAGCCTTTCAGGCCACCGTCGTAGCTCACCAGCATGTCGTTCTGCCCATGGAAGTGGAGCACTGGCACTTTTCGCGCAGGCTGGCACCTATACTTCTGAGACCACCAGGGTTTGGGGAGCTTGGTGTTTGCGTCATCTTGACTACTGATCACACCGGACACCGGTGCAATAGCTGCAAGCATGTCTGAAGCTTCACAGGCCAGCCGGTGCGACATGAAACCGCCGTTGGACATGCCAGTGGCATAGATCCGGCTGAAGTCAACACCGTTGATGTTCTGATCAATGTACTTGACGAGTTCTCTGGTAAAGCCAACATCCACCTCCGGACGGTAGCAAGTGCCGGTCCAAGAACTCAGGTGGATGCGGCCCCCCGTGCCTGCGAGACATATGGTCTGGATCTGCCTGACAGTTCAACAGCCAGGCAGATCCATGCCATATGTCTCGCAGGCACGGGGGCAGCATCCACCTGCATTGAAAGTAGCCCCCCCGGGAATGGGCACGCCAGCGATCACTCCTGCTCTGGCCGACGCATACCCCTGTGGATAGACGACCATGTACCCCTTCCGCTGCGCTTGTGCATCGTGTTGATCCATGGCTTGTTGCAAACGATTGTTGGCTCCCCAGGCATGGAAGCTGATCACCAAAGGGGCCTTGCGGCCTTGGAGATTCGATGGCACAAAGATCCGGGCCTCCCGGTCATGGTTTTGCTGATCCTTGAAGGAAATCGTTTGCGTCTGGGAGTCCATGCCTGGAACGATCTCCTTGAAGGCATGGGCGAGGTAGGTCAGGGTATCGAAAAGGCCGTCCTTTGACCGAAGCTCTTTTCCAAGGGCGACCGGCGCCGCACACAAGGTCAGGAGAGTCCAGCGCAAGCACAAAGCCATTTCCTTAGAGGACTGCTGGGAATCTAGGTCCAACTCCCTTGAGCCAGATGCCCTTCAAGATTGGAAGGAACATGCAAAATTGAAGATCTTTTGGTTGGTGACGATTACGGCGAGGTCCACCTTCAAGCCAGTGTTTGAAGCACCAGCTTGAAGCTACCCTCCGTCTCTTTCTTTTCAATTGCCCAATTTCTTTACGGATTGATGTTGCTGCTTGGTCTTGCTTTCCACAGCTGAAGGATACATACCGATCCCATATCTCAACATTAATTAACCGAATACTGCCGATTACATCTATCTATCGGACTTTCCGAGCTTATAAAGACTTGGCGCTGCCTCTCGCCTTTGAGTGTACTCGGCTTTGCCACTGGGAGTTCATGAGTTGCGATTACTTGCATGCATGCTTCAAAGGGACACACCCATTGTCCCCAACTTTGAGGATCCTGAAGCCCAAACCAGACTGCGATGCTCCCACCTTGCGGATACAGGGAGCCCGCCAGGAAGCCTCGCACATCCTCCCAGCAGGAGAATCGGTGCAGAGAAATCATGACTTCATGAACGGGGCTCTCGACAGAGGTGTGGCCACATTCGCACTATGGGTATTGATTTGCCGTACGACGCTGTGCATCTTTGCACGGACCACTCACCAAGATCAAGCCACGCCACTGACAAGAACTATCGATTAAGAGCAGAACCTCCCTCTCATTCCCTCTCATCACTAGGAAGAATAACGGTAGGAGCGACATAGAACAGATGTCAGCGTCACCATCAACATTAACATGATGTTGCTGATGCATACTGTACTTTCACCACCACAGACCACCATGTCCGCCACCAGCGCCATCGTGGTCTCCAGAAGAGTTCAAGTAGTTTTTTATGCGGTAACCATTCTTGCTGCTGTCGCCGCCGCCATCGCCGCCGCCGCTGTTGTCGTCGTCATTTTCGTCTTCTTCGGCGTCGTCGTCATCTTGGCGATGTCGCAGTTGCTGCTGTGTCTTGGCTTCTGCCTCCGCCAGATCCAACTCCTTCTCGACGTCACGTCCGTGCTCGTCGTGCACCTACCACTTCAGAGAAACGATCTGGATCCGTTGCTAAAGGGTTGTAGCACGGCATATGAAGTTCGGAAGGCTACAAGCGAGCATGTGCAAACTGGCGGTAAGCCTGCAAAACAGAGTCGAGCGGCTCCCTCACGACTTGCGATCTTCGGTTGCGGGCTGAAAACTTCAGCTCGTTCTGCGAAACCACCGACACCCACAAAACCACCCCAGACCTCCCAAAACGAAGCCAGGCGCAGCCTCTTTCACTGCTGCCGGCCTGAAAGTGGAGCTGCTGCAGCGTCTCGGAGAGCAGGAGCCTCGCCGGCTCGTAGTTCGCAGACAGACCTCACGCAGGGCAGGGGCCACGCGAGTCTCGGGCATATCAGGGTCTGGCTTTGGGGGGCTCAGCGATGGCAGTCTGCCTTTTTGGGTTTTGCCAAAGGAGGTTTGAAGCAGCAGAGGCTTTGGAAGTGAGAAGTTCCACTTGGAGCTGCTCTTCAAAGGACCGCGGGCCGATTCCGACTTGAAGCAGCTTCTTCCCGGTGACAACATCCCCAGACACTCGCCGCCGCGAGCCAAGGGGCCCTCGTCTTGGGAGGTGCTCTGGTCATCATCGAGGACGCGGCGGAGGGTGATGTTCATGCCATCCTGAGCTCGGCTCTTGACGACTCGTTACTGGCTTATACTGCTGTAGGATCCACACCTTCATGCAAATTCCCCATGCATGCATGCATACACATGCAGAGCCAGGTTGCGGAATGTACGGGAACTTGTGCATGTGCGCATGTGTTTGTCCATAGAAGACATGTATTTATAAACACATACACAAATGCACACATCTGATATCTACCATCTATTACTGTAGCAGCAGCATGCACATGAATGGTCTGACCGAAAAACGAGTCTGGTGTATCAGCCATCCACACCCGAAACCATGCAGCAAAACAGTGCAGGATGTGCAACTTCCAATTAGGCTTCAAGGTTACTCTATTCTCAGGGTATTACTACTATTACTACTATTACTACTATTACTACTATTGCTACTGCTACTACTACTACGACGACGACTACTACTACCCCTTAATTGTCCTCCTTCCCTCGGCTTCATGCAGTGAAGCCAGCGGAGCGATAGAGTTAGAAAGTAGGATGAAAGCTTCTGCTGCCAAGCAGCGTCATCTCCCATGCGCCTGGCAGGAACAATTTTGGGCAGGGGTTGTATTGTAAGTATAGGGGCCCTCATCTCTAACCTGAGGAACTAAAATCAACAATAGAAGAGTAACACAGGGATGAGACCTTGGGGATCTCAACCCTTCTCCCAGTAGTTGAGGGTATCCATATTGACCTGGTATGTGGGTAATGGCAGTGCTTCCATCCTGTCTATCATATCATAGCCTGGGAGAATGTTAACATGTGTACCAGCACAACTCCTATCCGTTCTAAACCATGCCTGCTTGTCTCTCTTCTTTCCCTAAGCCTGGTCGTGTCTCCCGACTGCGCCTCACCACGCGGCTAAGAAGTTGACTCGCCATCGCAGGCTTTGCCCCAAGCGCCTCTCAGGGATTCGGGACTCCGGGAAATGGGAGTGCAAGCTGTGCCACTGTGCGGGACAGAGCACGTAGAATTCGACGTACATGATGGGCCTTCTGCAGCTTCCACGAGATGTCAACAACCTCGTCCGTCACCTTTTTTTTGCACACTCGACTTTACCAGCAACTGGACTACCACGCTATGAGCCCCAAAACCCCTAGGCACGTAGAGTTTGCTCACACATGGCTGCAGAAAGGGTTGAACTGTCATCCCAAACTCCGGAATGCCACAACTTCGAGCGAAGTGGCAGCATGTACGACGGAATCCGCCTCCTTCCACAGCGAGGAGGCTGCCTGGTTCCGCCGGCAGGCCACGCCGACTACGACAGTGGATCCATGCCGAGGAATATCTGCTGTTATAAAGAAGGGTAGTCGTCATGTAGCAGTAGTACTGGCAGTAGTAACAGTAGGAGCTGTAGCTAGTAGCAGCAGTTGCAGCGGTAGTATTGGCAGTGGCAGTGGTAGTGGCAGTGGCAGTGGAACGGGTACTGGTACTTGTACTGGTGCTGGTAGTGGTAGTAGTAGTAGTAGTAGTAGTAGTAGTAGTAGTAGTAGTAGTAGTAGTCGTAGTAGTACTGCTACTATTACTACTTCTACTGTAGTGCTGCAGTACTGTGGTAGAAGCAGGAGCAGTACCAGTTGTTGTGGTCGTCGCCGTAGTAGTAGATTATGTAGTAGTAAGTACGAGAACAAAGGAGGAGGAGGAGGAGGAGGAGGAGCAGCGGCAGAACCACCAACTCAGCACTACAAGTATGGGCAAAAAGCAGCACTCGAGCTCCCGGCCTCATCCTCCGTGCCGAGACCGAACTTCCCGGAGTGGTCCAGCGTCTCTTTGCGACCCCTGGCCCAGCAGTCACAGGACTCTCATAAAGGCTTTGTGAAGAGTGCCTAGGGCAGTGGTCTAGATGTAGTGTATGTGTGTATGAGCGTGCCGCGCGCCTGATCTCTTCATCTTGGTCGTTGCCGACCTATGTAACGATCTGTTTTTAACACATGTCATGGATAGATAGATCGACAGATCGATAGAGAGCTAGCTGGCTGGCTGCCTCGCTTTGATAGATTGACGACTTGAACCATTGATTGATCGATTGGTTGAACGGATGAATGAAAGGATGAATGAATGGATGAATGAAATACGAAATATGAATGAAATCATGAATGATGAATGAATGAATGAATGAAATGAATGAATGAATGAAAGAATGAAATGAATGGAATGAATGAATGCATGCATGCATGGATGGATGGATGGATGAATGAATGAATGAATGTGGGTGTAGGTAGTAGGTTTGTCGGTAGGTCGGTAGGTCTGTAGGTCAGTAGGTCGGTTTGTCGGTTGGTCGGTAGGTCGGTAGGTCGGTAGGTCGGTAAGTAGGTAGGTAGGTAGGTAGGTAGGTAGGTAGGTGGCAATTTGTAGTCGTTTGCAGGTTTAGGGCAGAGGATCTTCTGAGCAGTCTGGTGCTTGGGGCAGCTCCTCCAAGTCGAAGCTTGCATAGACGAGCACAGAAGAATCGCATAAGAACCGAATCAAGACCAAAATGTGAAGCTGCACTTTGAAGAGTCCCAGTCCGAGCTCGTTCGGCTACGACTCGGATTTCCAAGCAGTCTCAAGCTGGTCGCCCACCCATATGCAAAACACAAAAGCATGCTGCCTGAAGACATCACAGCAGCTTCTCATGTGCGGGAGTCTTGCCAGCTTTGGGCAAGAGGCTAATCAGACAGGCCCGGCCAAAAAAACGAATGCCGATGCCGTTAGGTCTCACGAAATGCGATAGTCTGCTGGTGCGGTTTAGATTTAGTGCTGGGCAGCCGACCAACCTGAGAATGTGATATCTTCTTCGCCGCTCAGGCAGCAAGACTACAAAGAGCCGAAATGCTGACCAAAGGTACATTCAGAATTGTTGGCTCCGATCACAGAGACCATGTGACCTGCACTGCGCCATGCCCTATTCTACCTCACCTGCTAAGTTCCAGCACCTTTCAATCCCTCGACTCCGCACTCCCCGAACGGTGTCTACGGCCACAGAGGCATAACCTGCCTGCATGCTCGCAGGCGGGCTTGCAAAGAGCGCTCTCGGCTACCTGGAGAACTGGGCTCGGGTTCCCGGGATGAAGTAGTCACGAGTAACAGCAGATATTCTGCTGTCATTTTTTGAATAGAAAGCAACAAACATCACGACTGGGGCAAGAAGAAGAAGACCAAGAAACAAGCAAAAAAGACGGCTGCTGTTTGCTGATAATCGTTCTAGTCGGGAATCCCAATTCATGCCGGTGGCCCTATATAATTACCGCTGATCTGTCAGGCAAAGCACTGAATCTGGCAATGTCTCAAAGTCAAAAGTCCTTCCATAAAGACTACAGATCCTGAACAGAGGACGTCGTGAGAAATTTCCCTCTCGGCCTGGCCGGTGGCCGCGTGGCTCCTGCTCGCCCCTCCCCCCCCGGTCGCGCGGCAAGCTCGCCCACGTTCATCGAACTCTGCTTGACTACGGCGCGGGCGAGGCCACACAAGCTCAACTTCACGAAGAGAAGACTTCCTGTTGCGACGTCTACATACATACGTATACATATGTGTACATACGTACATACGCTTTTACATGCGCGCATACCTACATACTGACACACTGAATACTTACCTGCTTACATATGTACACACTACATACGTACATACTTACATACCTATGTACTTACGTACATGTGTACATGCCCATATACATACATGACATACATACATACATATGTAAATACACACACGTGCACATACACATACACATGCACGTCTACATCTACATCTACTTATCTATATCTATATCTATATCTATATCTATATCTATATCTATCTCTATATGTGTATATATATATATAGAGTAATCCACATACACATAAGCACGACGTGCACATACATATGCAGATGCGCAGGCACGTGAACTGCACATACATGTACATACACACATGCGCATACACAAAAATAGACATACACACATACTCATACATGCACACATACATACATGCATACATACATATATACATATATGCAAACATATGTACGCATATACGCAAGTACACATATCGATATATACATTGGCGTACATAAACATACACACATGCGTAAATAAACATCAACGCATACCAATAAAGGGAGAGAGAGAGAGAGAGAGAGAGAGAGAGAGAGAGAGAGAGAGAGAGAGAGAGAGAGAGAGAGAGAGAGAGAGAGAGAGAGAGAGAGAGAGAGGGGGGGGGAGAGTTCGCTATTCATCCTTGCGTCTATGTGTACTATGTGCACATGCATGCATGTATGGATGGATGTTTGTCTGTTTGATTGGTTGGTCGCTTGCGTGCTGGTGTGTTGCTTGTTTGTATGCATGCTCTTATGTGCAGGTATCGGATCTATGTGCCTTCCATAGTCTTTCTTTCTTTACTTGTAACTACCTGATGTGCTTATTTGTACTTGAAGCTATCTGTGAACGGCATGATCACAGACTGCCTTCCTGAGGAAGGCAAACTTGCGTCAGGAGATTCTTCTTCAGACCGTTGCATACTGCCATAAATAACCGGTGTCAGCTACGACGCTTTCTGCTTAGGCTTGCGAAGCTCCCAATGGATCGCTTCCAGACTCTCAGTCCAGGCAGGGCAGTGTGTCCAAACCTGGTATGATTGGATACGGGAAGAAAAGCATGATCTTCATCAGCAGTCCCTCAGGGGCTGGCTGCAGCACCAGCTCGTCGTGGGAACACGGCGTCCAAGCAGCCTTCGCGTCTCGGCGTACATGGCACTGTCGACCACCTGTCCCGTCTTCCTCAAGGCGAACCCAGGATGCAACGGCGGTCTGGCGCCAATTTTCATCGCCCACCCGACCGGGCAAGTGCTCATATTCCAGAGTGAACTTCTCGTTGGTTGCACGTGCCTCGGCTACCATCCTCCGAAGCTGCAGAGCTGGCACTGTGTATGAAAGAAACGGAACGCCGCTTGATGGCTGCCAGTGTGGTATCTTGGCTCGGATTTCCGGCCCAAGCATTAGGTTTACTGTTGGGGCGAACTGCTGTGCTATATGACCCCCCTCCCTCAGAATGGCGACGACGCGCTCGGGCAGGGCATCCGTACAGTTGGATGGATACATGGCATTCATGTAATCGCTCGTGCATGCTGTAACACGCACGATGCCGCCACCGAACTTGTCCAGCTGCGATGTGCTCTCCCACTGCTGGAGCAAGGACGTCGGCATGAAGAGGTGGTTGGATCCTCCATGTTGACGGATTACCGCGAAGGGCGCCACCGCTGAGATTTCCATAATCCCCAACAGCTGGAAGAGGAACACGTAGGAAAAGGTCATGAGCAAGAGCACGAAGAAAGCGATCCGGAGCACTCCGTGCCGTATCCCTTTGGGATCTGGGGCCTTGGCATCGGGTGGCGGGGATCCGATCGTCACGGCTCGGGCACCCAGGAAGCAAAGAGCAGTCTGCAGTGGGAGGCACCAGTCCATGAAGAAACCAGGCCTTGGCTTGGCTCTGAAAGGAACCCAAAGAAGTCCCAGTCCCTGCCCAAGGGAACCATCTACTCATCTGGTATACTCTGTTCGAGGAGATTCTCTTGAAACCATTAGCTTGCTTTGGATTGGGGCCGGTTAGCGCCCAGCATACCGTCTTTCTCTCTTTCTCCAAGCGGCATGGAAGTGAAACGAACCGATCCAGCAACTACGGCTCCCATGCAGATGCGAAGCAAGAGGCCGCTTGTCGTCTGCGGCAGCGCCAGAAACTCCCCACACGCGGCAACCCACGCTTCCGGCATCACGAAGACAAGCCGAGTGATGCAAATGACTCCAAACGTGGGCACCTGGTTGGGAAAGGGAGTGATAGCGATGGAGTAGTGCAGCAACGCGGACAGGAGGATTCCCGCGCCGTGTGCCTTACGGCTCGGGGCGAGGAGGCAGAGGCCGAGAACCATCTCCCCGGCGATCGTCAAATGCGGCGCGTAGGCAAGCAGAGGGCCAACGCCACCAGGGATACGTTGGATGAGATCGTCAGGGAAAAAGGAGAGGAGTGAAGCAACGAAAAACGATGCACATGACACCCGCGGATTGAGAAAGGCCTCGTTGATCTTCCAAAAGCCAGCGCCGAAGTAAAATAAACCCATTTGCACACGGATCAAATCCGCGCAAGCATACACGGCATCCTTCTTCTCGTAGAGGAGCATTGCCATTACAAAGGCAGCATCAGTGAACATCGCCCATATGCACGAGTCCCAGATGTAAGGCGCCTTGACGCAGTACATCGCCCCACGTGCGACCAGCGCCAGGACAGCTGTCAGCCTGGATGGGAAGATGAAGGCCGCTGCGAAAAGAGGTGCCTGCGCATAGATCCACCAGATGTTGGGTGCCAGGAAAAGATCGTGCAAGTTGTGCGCTGCCTCTGAGATCACCCACAAACGCACAAAGGTATCGAAGGCCATCGTACAAACAAAGAAGGAGGTTGGGAGCTTCGTGCACCACGTGGTTGTAGGATGGCTTGAGGTTTTGTGCGCCTTGTGGGGTTCAGCTGAAGCCTGGCTCGATCCAAGATTAAGGCGCTTTTTGCAAAACGCACGCCAACAGCATTCGATTTCCCCAACTGCTTCGAGGATGCCAAAGCTACGCAGCTACAAGTCAACTGCAAAGAATGGAATCCGAATTCGTCAACAGGCTGAGCCGGCTAGCCGCTAAGCCCCGCAACGCTCGAGAGAGCACGACAAAAAGCATCAACACCAACAGCCGAAAACTCCCAAGGAATGCCCTTGCCAGCTTAAGCGGCACTAAAACGCTCCGACACGGTGCTTAAATTTGTGCCATTATCATTAAGGAGTTATGAGTATGACAGGCCTACTTTCCAAATGAGGCGGTGAAAGTTAAAACTCGTGACCACTCATGTCCATGGGCCCCGTTTTCGAGCTCCACGACAGGGTAAATGAAAAGGAGTGTCGTGTTGACACTGGGGACTGCGTGTGGTGACACTCTTCAGAATACTCTTCAACTGAAGTCTGAATCCCAATTACAATCGTCGGAAGGCTATTGACCTGTCACACAACTCTCAGTAGGGACAAACCATGGAGCGTGGTATCCTGGAATCCTGCGTTGGCCATCCGACAGCAAGCCTATTAAAGAGGAAGTTGTCAATTTGCCGATGGCTGCGGCCTTAGCACTGCTTTGCAACTTCATGGCATCATTTCTGCCACGGGTTGAGTTTGACCGCCAGTGACCTGGAAAACATGAACTTGGAGGCGAACCTGTCTGCTCTACATCACCAGCTGGAGATACGACCCTCCAGCCTCACTCTTCATAGGCACCAGGTAGAACAGCTTCCATACTTCCTGGCACGCCACACGTGTGGGGACGAGTTGCTGGTGTTCTTGCGAACACACGGAGCCAACCCTTCCAGGCCTATCTTCTGCTTCTGTCGTCTTCGAGTTTTCAATTGCACCACGGTATGCGTTGGTAGCTCATGGTAGCTCCATTTTGCCCACACTTGATTAGTCTTGTGCCGCACCGTTCAGCTATCTCAACCTTCGCCACTCGCGACATCTTGACTCTGTGGGTCCTCATAGGTTGCATGTTAGTTCCCTCCGCTGAAGCTTAACATCAGTCTTGTTGCTGTGCCAGATGGGAATTCCGGGGCTGGTGGTGCGCTGCAGCCGCCACTCCTCCCGCTCCTGCTGCCGTGCTCCTGCTGTTGCTGCTGCTGCTGCTGCTGCCCTCTCTGCTACTTCTGCGACTGCTCCCATGCGCAATTCCTACTTTCATTGCTACTTATCCCTACAACTGTAGCAAGACGAGTACCACAATCCAGAAATTTCGTACTTCAAGATTTTGCCACCTGAAACCGTGAAACCGGACCGGGACCCTCTACGTTCCAGGCATTCTGACGTTTAGGGCTTTCTGCTTAGAGGTTCATGGGTAGTTGTAAGTGGGGTTAAAACTACCCTAATATGGGCAATAAGCATAGTTACCCTACTTATAACCCTACTTATAACTACCCATGAACCTCCAAGTAGATCATACACGGCAAGAGCAGCTCAGGTTCCATAATGTCCAGGTAACCCTACATCACAAGGACCCTTATACACGGGGTAGGGGGCCTTTTATGCCCATAAGAAGGACCTATTCAGGCCCATTTAAGGCAGCATCGTTCCCTACCCCCACTCCACCTCCCCCCCTAAGGGTCCCCATGACTACATGTCCGCACGAGCCTTGTCCGTGATCCGCATCTCTGGGAAGCTGCTGGGGTTCTTCGAGCCTTCGTGCATTTCGGCGTCGGCGCCGAGGGGTCATGGAGTTGCAGATACTACCGGAAGCATTGGGGTTGAATCATATATATATATATATATGTTTAAGATAACATTAGCATATATTCTAGTATATAATCATATTATGTCTTCTAATATGTGATATGTATAATGCAATATGACTCTAAACCCTAAACCCTAAACCTTAAACCCTAAACCCTAAACCCTAAACCCGGGTATGGCACAAGGGATGTACAACGCCCTTGGCGCCTCGACTCTGGCGGCTCGCCGCTCTGCACGGCGATGTCCATATCCTCAGACGTCTCAGACTCTCTGGGTTCATGGGTTAGGGAGTTTAGGGTTTAGGGCTTAAGGTTTAGGGTTTAGGGCTTCATGGTTTAGGGAGTTTAGGGTTTAGGGTTTAGGGAGTTTAGGGTGTAGGAGTTGGGCTCCTGGCCACATCACAGAACCATCTTACTTGCCGTATAGCTGTACTTGCTTCTTCTCCCGTCAATGGGAGTTGAAGACCCTTCGCAAAAAGTATCCTTTTGCTGCAGGACCCTGATGATAGAGCCCCGCAGAACCACAGTGGAACCCTATACACCTCTGTCTTCAGGTTAGAAACGTCTCAAGCCCTCACCTCACATCCCTGCACTGATTCCGCTGGTGTAGAGGTAGAGGCCGATCGCAAAAGCCGTCTATGTATACTCACACGCATACACACATGAAAGGAGCATGGGGAGAGGGAGAGAGATAGAGATGTCTGCTGGTTTGGTGCAATCTGTCGATTTCTGAGAGGCGGCAACGTACGGTGTTCTACATGACATCGCATACAACATACGGTAGCCTAGTATGTTATGCAATGTGCGTTGTTATTACATCAGTTGTGGCAGGTAGTCTTTCCTGTACGGCATCTGCGCAAAATACACATAGCACGATATAGCTTGACGGGCATGCAATCATGCACCTACATACATCCATCATCCAGCGATGCATCCATCAGTCCATGCATGCGTACCTGCATACAGGCACCCATACATACATCTATCCATCCATCGCTGAATCCACCATTCCATCCATACATCCATGCATGCATCTCCGCATGCATCTATGTATGCGTGACGCCGTGACGCGAGCAACAACATGTTGTATTAGTGGAAACTGGTAATCTGCTATGCCGACCAAAATGTGCAACTGTACACATATTTACAGAGACACATATGCATAGAATATGCATACATGCATGCACATGTATATGTTATATATGTGTGTAATTACACATAAACATGAACACAGATTTCATCCATACAAAAGCAACTACATGACGTCAAGGTATACAGATTCGATCCCCGATCAACAGCAAGCGCTGGGGGCTGGAACCAGTATCTCGGCCGCCTCGGACTTCTGGCGGAAGGACGCCACCTGTTGCAGCGGCTGTCAGGACTTCGCAGTTTTCAGCCACGTAGTTGTAGAAGCAATAGCAATGATACACCGCATAACAGCAATAATTAGCCGTAACACCAGCCGCACTAGCAATGACAACGGAGTAAGGGAACAGAAGCAGGAATTACAGCAGAAATCGTGTCTACTATAGCTATAGCACAGCACGCCGTATCATAGTATGGAATAGCAAAGATTAGTAGACTAGAGTAGAATAGAGTCCCGGTACGTGTTGAGGCGCTTACGATGTTGTCAGCTTGTGTTCTTCTGGAGATTTGGAATTGTATGGGTGCAGACTTTAAGCAGTGATGAGCAGCTCCGCATGGACCCATCTAAAAGAAGGCACCCTCTGCTGCGATTTGCGCACCTTCGCTCTGACGCGCTTGAACTTGGACATTTTGAAGAGATCCTGGCGTCTAATCATAAGTTATGGTGCATCATGGCCTACCGTGGCCTGGCATTGTATCAACTACGAGTACTAGTATGTCAAAGCTGCGATTCTTCTGGGTATTGCAGCGCATCTGATGTCTCTCACAAAACCTGACATCGCACATTTCAATTTGTGTTACCGCGAACGGCTTGAGGTCTATGTATCATCTGTGTGTGCGTATCTGTCTATCCATCTATTAAGGGGGAATGCATCCCCGTTTTAGCATCGAGACCTTCTTCCAGCTCGTCCCACAAGCCTCAACACTATATGGGAGTTTCCGAAAATGGGGGACCCTCATATAGTACCTTAAATAGTAGGATCCTTATTATCAGGATCCCCAAGATAAGGTACCCCTAATTTTCGGAAACTACCATACACTCCCTGCACTGCACTGCCCTGCCAGAGCCTGCTTCCAGAAAGTCTCATCCTGTTGGACGACGGATGCCTGGCAGCAGGCTTTCAATTCCCAAGTACTTGGAGGTTCATGGGTAGTGAGAAGTAGGGTTATAAGTAGGGTAACTATACTTATAACCCATACTGGCGGACTTATAACCCCACTTGTAACTACCCATGAACCTCCAAGCAGGGCTCTCCATTGCTTTTCCCAGGTGCTTCCACTAAGTGGACTGCGGGGAAAGACATGTAGCACGCATAGTTCAGGGCTGCTGCCTGACCCTCCATTCCATTATTTGGTTTTAGGATTTAGAGGCGGCCTAGGGCTTCGTAGGTGAAGCCTTCCATAACGTAAAACCCGAAACCCGAACCTCTGAACCACTGAATCTGAAGCCTGAGCCTCTAAATCCTAAACCCGGATCAATCCCTAAAGCCCCGAAACCCAAAACCCCAGGCCACAAAGCATCCGAAGAGCCTGCTCTCCCTTTTCTCACTGCTCTTCCCGGGCATCTCGGTCGACACATGGCTGAAACCATCCTAAGATCCACAGGCCTGGGAGTGTAAACCGGGGCCGTCCCAGATTCGGGCTCGCTCTTTAATTCCTATCAGAACAAGGGGGTTGAGGATTTGCAGCTAAAGATCAAGGGCCGCTGGGGAAACTTCACGAGAACAACCACCGAATCCTGCCCAAGCTGAAGGACAATTCATCCGTTACAGCGGGCTGTCGAACCGAAAGCCTGCAGTGCACCATCTG